ATATGGCATAAATAGACTATCAAGCATAATTCAAAATGCACAAACAGCAGAAGAGAAACCAGATGACTGGGACCATCTAAAGATTAAATTTTTGTGTGCTTCCAAAGACTTCTCCAAAAGAGTCAAAAGAGAACCTACAGATTGGGAAAAAACATTTGGTAATGACATATCTGACAAGGGACTTATATCTAGAATTTATAGAAAACTCCAACACCTCAATAACAAAAACACAGACAATCCAATTAAAAAATGGGCAGAAGACAAGAATAGACACTTCACCAAGGACAATATTCAAGCAGCCAACAAATAAGAAGAAATGCTCACGATCACTAGCTATCAGAGAGATGCAAATCAAAACAACAATGAAATACTACCTTGCTCCAACACTAGTAGCAAAGTTCAATGAGACAGAAAATAACAAATGGTGGCAAGGATGTGGAGAGATCGGGACTCTCATACACTGCTGGTGGGACAGTAAAATGGTACAACCATTGTGGAAAGCAGTATGGCGATTCCTTCAAAAGTTGGAACTAGAATACCATTTGGCCCAGCTATTCCATTACTTGGTATATACCCTAAAGAAGTGAGAGCCATGACAAGAACAGACATATGCACACCATGTTCACTGCAGCACTATTTACAATAGCCAAAAGATGGAAACAACCTAGATGTCCATCAACTGAGGAATGGATAGCCAAACTATGGTACATACACACAATGGAATACTATGCAACCCTAAAGAATAATGTAGAATCTGCAAAACACTGCGTAATGTGGATGAACTGGGAGGACATTATGCTGACTGAAATAAGTCAATCACAAAAGGATAAATATTGTATTAGTCTGTTATTGTAATAGTCAAGGAAACATTTATCTATGGAAGATCATTTTCTTTGTTGGTTACCAGGGGTGGGAGGGTAGGGTAGGGAATACTGTTAGATAGATAGAGATAAGTTCTGGGTAGTCTTTAGTAAGATATGCAGCCAAGGAGTACAAAGTGAAGTAGTTTTTTTTTTTTTTTTATAAAGTCAAAACTAATCAGAGTATTCCACAATGGAAAGGAACTGAAAAGGATGTGAAAAGATCTAAAATTTCATTTATTCAAGCTCTATCATTTAAAAATGTCTAATCTTAAATAAGGGCTTTGAACAAGTTTGAAATGGTTCAGTCATAGCCGAGGGAAATAAAGGCAGTCCATGTTTGGCACAGCAACCAAATCTCTAGGATGTCAGACTGTGACTTGAGTAGGTAACAGGCAGCAGTGCCCCACTCAAAAATGGTGGCCAACTGATCCAAGACACATCAAAGCAGCACAGTTGGCCACCATCTTTAAATGGAGGATTGACGCCTGTTTCCTACTTGGACAAAAGAGATTTGGTAGCTGTGCATTGCGTATACCACCCTTGTTTCAGTAGACCATGACTGGACATTTCAAACCAGTTTGAAATCCTGTTTCAAACATGAAAATGCTGCTGCCACAATTCAAAATTATAAACATTCCTGAGGGTATTAGAACTTTGCAAAATTATAAAAAATATATACAGTATAGAAGGAGACATATATTACAGATAGTTATAACACCAAATACATATATAACACCATTTAGGGATTTTTCTAAGTGCATTACATATGCTAAGTCGGCTCTATGATGTAGGTAGGTACCTTTATCCCCATTTAAAGATGAAGAAACTGAGAGAGGTTAAATAACTTGCACGAGTTCACACTGGCTAGTAAGTGATTGTTATGGATTTAATTGTGTTCCCAAAAAATAGGCATTGTAAATCCTAACCCCTATACCTGTGGTTATAATCCTATTAATGAGTCTTCTTTGTTATATTAATGAGGCAGCATTGGTGTAAAATGTGTCTTAAGTCAATCTCTTTTGAGATATGAAAGAGCAGACTGAGCAAGCAATAAAACAAGCAAGGAGAGATGGGAGAAGATACAAGTCATGCCACATAACCATTAAGGGACAAAAGCTAAAAAGAGACTAGGACCTCTGTCAGAGACAACAGAGAAAGGCTTCCCCTAAAGCTGGGGCCTGAATTCAGACTTACAGCATGCTAAACTGTGAAGGAATAAATTTCTATTTGTTAAAGCCATCTATCTGTTTGTGGTATTTTTGTTATGACAGCACTAGACAGTGACAGACTCAGAATTTAAACGCAGGAAGCATTCATTGGGCAGTACAACAACAACAACAATATGGTATCAAAGGAGTAGTATTGTTCATGTCTTTTCTCCAGGATTAGAGAATAGCTGAATGATGCATTTTTTCATCCCAGTTAGAAATTAGGGAGATTCTTTAGATTTATGTTTCAGTGGTAGTTTACAAAGATTATCTATACTGTGTCTTTTTATCACAGTATGTCAGGTCAATGGCATCTTAAAGGTTGTTTATGTTCTTTACATACTTTACATGCTTCTATATTCCCTTTTTAAGAACATTTTATTGTGGTTTATATGAGAGGTTACAAAGTAAATTCATTTCCCAATTCAACAATTTATATATAGATCATTTTATGACATAGATTGTAATGTGTCAGCACTCTCCCCACTTCCACCCTAGATTCCCTGTTTCCATTTGCCTAGCTTTCCTGTCTTCTGAATTTTACTTTTGGGCAAATGCTGCCCTTTTGTTCTGTAGTTGAACATTCTGAGGAACACATTCCTCACAGGTGTTACTGTTTACTTTCTAGTCCTGCCTATTGTTCAAGTGTAAGGTGATCTCCAGGAGTGGATATAGGTCTAAGTTTGAAGAGTGTTTAAGGGTCATAGTCTTGGAGTTCCACCACTCTGTAACAGACCAATTAAGTCTGGTCTTTTTTATGAATTTGAATTTTGTTCTACATATTTCTCTCATTCTGTACAGGACCTTCTTTTCAGGTCCTAGTCAGAGCTGTTGGAAGTGGTAGCCAGGCACCATCTAGTTCTACTGGTCTCAGTGGTCTCAGGGGTAGTGGAGGCTGTGGTTTGTGAGGTCCATTAGTCTAATGCTTCTGTTTCTGTGTCTAAGTTTAGAAATTTTCCAAATAGCTTTCATATGACTAAGAGGTTACTAATGACTTACATTTAATGTTAGAGAGTCTAACAAATGTATACATATTTCTTTTTCTGAGTTCATATTATGAGTGCTTATATGTATGTATTTTGAAAGCATAATAGTGCTTAGACCTCATGGGATTTGAGTTCACTATAGAAACACTCAGAACATGTATCAGAAAATAAAGAATTATTTTATGTTATATGATTTGCCCAAAATTCTTTTGGATTATAAGATAAAACATGGAGTATTCATGATTAGTGGAAATTAATGCTTAATGGATTTTTTATTCTTTAGTTTGACCTCATAGTACATTGCCTATGGAAAAAAATGGTGAACTAATTCATTTTTGAAAAGAGTACTCATATAAATGATGCTGTTGTGATTAGTTGCTGTCGAGTTGGCCCCAGCTCATGGCAACCTTATGTATATGAGAATGAAACATTGCTAGTCCTGTGCCATCTTCATGATCATTGGTATGTTTGAATCAATTTTTTGTGGCTATGTGTTGATTCATGTCATTGAATAGACAAGTCAAAAATACA